CCCCAAAACCCCAAAACCCCAAAACCCCAAATAAATTGTTAACAATTGAAAATAAAGGATTTTATTTCATCCGTTCTCTTGAGGTACTTCTAATTTTCCCAAAGGCAGATTCCCTGTTCTTCTGTACCAGCTCTTCGTTCTTCAAAGAAAGTTTATCTATCTCATCGTAGAGTTTCTTAATTTCGTCAGTAAGCTTTGACACCTTCTTCCTCTCCTTGACCAAAGCAAAAGAGTCAAATTCAGTGCTAGTATCGGACTTAGTAGGGGTTCTCTGGAGTAACTCCTCAATCTCGACTCCTAACTCAAGTATCTTATTATTCTTATTCTTGACATCTGCTTCAAGATCAATGATTCTTTGCTTGTCCTTCTTCTTAATAACCTTATTCTCTTCCTTCAGTCTATCAGCGACTTCTTGGAGCTCTTCTAGCTCTTCTTTATATTTAGCGACTTCATACATCTTCTTCTTCATGTCTTTCTTCAGTGCAATGTATTTGTCTTCGATTTCATGGAATTCATCATCTCTTTGGTTGTATTCATCGACAAGGCCATCGATCTCATCTTTTTCTCTCTTCTCTCGTTCTTGTTCTTTCCTGGTATGGCTATCTTTAAACTCCTTGTATTCTTTATCTTGGTTTTCAATGTCAGCCTTAGTCTTGTCAATGAGTTTTACAAGTCTGTTTAGGAGATTCACAGTCTCTTCGTCTTCTTCCTCGTCGACGTCAAGGTCTATTCCTTTGAAAATTCCTTGGTTCTTGAATTCTTTGAGCTTTATTTTTACTTTCTCGAATGCTTTCTTGTCGGAATCCATGTTCTTGACTCTGTCCATGAGAGAATGGAGACTTATTCCAGTCACTTTCTTGTCTTCTTTAAGCTCTTCAATTTGGTCATTTGCTTTATCAAGCTCGTCTTGCTTTGACTCTAGTTCAGCTTGTAGTCTATCAATCTGCTCTTTCAACTCTTTAAAGTGTTCAAAAGTGAGCCCTTCAAAGCTATTTTCAAGTTTTTGTTCATCTTCATCTTTTTCTTCATTATCAACCTTTTTCTTCTTGCGTCTGACGACACCTTGGGTCTTCAATTTCTGAAGTTCTCCATTAAGCCTTTTGATCTCCATTCTAAGTTCTTCACGGGAGAGGACCCTGGCTCTGTCAATTCCGCCCTTGAGCTTCTTGACGATAGCTTTATCAATTTGATCATCATCGTTGATAATTTCACGCATTAGTTCTATCACAGTCTCGTTGTCTCCGATATCTTTCTTCATGCGCTCAATTATTTTCGCACGGACATTGTCTTGCTTCTGGTATTTTTCTTTCTCAAGCTCGTCCTTTAGCTTGTTGATTGATTTCATTAAGGATTTTGTTTTGAGGCTATGCTCGTCCTTGATTCTTTTAATCTCAGCGATAACTCGCTTGCTCTTCATTGGGTCTGCCATTAGGTTTAAATTTGAATATTAATACATAAAATTCAATTTTAAGTACCTTTTAGGGGTTTTGGGGTTTTGGGGTTTTGGGGTTTTGGGGTTTTGGGG